ACCTAGTCGGGATCTAACTCAGACCTAGATCCAGGCCTCGATCGTGACCCCTTCATTCGGATTCAACGTTACGTTCATCCCTAGATCAAGCCTAAACCGAGCCTAATCTGATTCTAATCCAAATCTAATCCATACGTAACATAGAACCACGCTGGATTTTGTTCAATTCCAATTCGAGTTTTCATTTCTTCCTCGTACCTCGCGTTCGTCGCACGATGTTCCATATTAAATTGAATTTAACTATCGAACGATGACGCCAATTATTGTCACCCGCAAGGATTGAACAGTTTTGACCGACGCAGCTTCGCTTCATTTGCAAATGGAAAGGAAGTCGAAAGAATCGAAAGAGAGAATACGCCGAGAGGGAATATCGAACGAGACAATCGGTCCGAGCTACGAATCGAATAAATCCCGGGTGAGACAGGTCACTCTTGCAGGGAACGACTTTCTACCTAATTCCAATGCATCATGATGAGTAGCTTGCCGATTGGGAGAGCACGGGGTAATTCGATAGAATATTGCTTGGGAAAGTTGTAGCCTGGATGTCGCGACGAGGAATCAAATCCAATATTCGAAATGACTTTTAGGCTTGAAAAGTTTCCGCACTAATTCGCCGTTCTTCCCGAGCAAACTTTCACGTCCGGATTTAACATGCTGTATATGTATTTCGTTCGTACTAGCTGTTCTCCTCCTCGTACCTTTCCCATTTTGGTTTTCCTCTTTTTTTTTTCTTTCTTTTTTTTCTAGTTCGATGATTTCTCCATGATAATTAGCCGAGTTTGCAGAATATTATTTATTCTTCGTTACGAATACATTTAAAGTAAATTGTGGAAATTATATTATTCTTTCATCACATAAGATTTCTTCAGTATAACAGTCAGACGATATAATATTTAGAATTACAAACTATAAAACAACATCTGAATAATAATAGTTGATGTTTGGTTGGAATATATGACTTGAGGAATATTACAGTTAAGTGTTCGATGGTAGTTAGTTATATTAAAACTTCGCTCCTGGTAGTATCGCTTTTTCGTACTCGGAATGTTCCGATTAAAGTTATATTGATTTATTAGTTGGAGTATTGAAAAATTCAAGCAAACTTCTTTACAAAAACAAATTCTCAAATGTAATACATAACATAAGTAACATTTTTGAGTGTTATCACAGTACTGACTATTTATAGTTACTCATCGAGTAATTACAAATACTGTTAACGAATATTATCAAAAAAAAAAAAAAAGAAAAAAGGATATTATAATGCTACGTTGCAAGAAAGAAAAAGAGAGTGGGAAAGCTAACTCATTGATTGCAATTTTTGATTGCATTTTAGTGAGTTTAATTTCCTAACGAACAGCACCGACGACAACGGAACAACCAAAAGAAAAAAAAAAAAAAACGACCCGCAACGTTATATATCGAATTTGTTGAAATAAAAAAAACGCCATTTCAAAATGTTGGTTCATTTGCTCGTAGAAACACAGTGATTCCAGTAATTGTTCAGGGGCATTGTAAAATCGATTTCACGGTATCAAAACTAACAGCACTCGATACGCGTCGATGGAGAGAGCGCGACATGAGGGTTCAGCAATGTAAATTGCTGTTACGAAGTTTCACGATGAACAAACGAACGATTAAAAAATTTGCCGGCCAGTCGGCTGGAACATTCCCGTTGGAACTTTCGCCGATCGCGAAGGGTGAAGCATTTGTTGCACACGGCCTACACGGTATCGATCCGTCTGGTCCTCTGTTCGCCGACCAGGCGGAAGCCAGACGAGCCGGATTTTACAAAAATTTCTCCGGCTTCGGTGGCTTGCAAAAAGTTAATAGGCTGCCGACGGGTTGGCAAAAGGAGGAGGGGGGAGGAGGGGGGAGGGGAAATAAAGACCTTGAAAAGAATTTTCAGGCAAGAAAAAGAACGAAAGGGGTTTGAAAGGAACGAGAAGCAGAAGAAAAAAAGAAGGTAATAAAGGCCCGGCGTACGAGCATATGCTAAAGGATACTTGATCGAGTTAACGAGTTTTCCCTCGTTAAACCATCCTTTTAATGTTGGTGTTCGCGGGGGGGATCGAAGCCTTTCAGAAAGTGAATTTTTTAGCGAATTTTGAAACGTGCACGCGCAATTTCTCGGTGATCGATGAAACGATGCACGTGTCAGTGTCGTCCGATGGCAATACTTCTGCGCGTTACGTATTGCGTATGTACCAGCGTCGCGCCCACTGACCCAAATTCGCTCACGGACTTCGATCCCCAAAAGGATAGTTTTCGTGGCCATTAGTCATTGGATTAATACTGCGCAATGATAGAACGAAATGTGAATTCGCACGGCGGTAATAATTAAAATATTCGGTCGTTCGTTTGTCGTTTAAAGTGAAATTACAATTACTGCAATTTGTTGTAAAATTAATAAAAGAAATTAATGGGTGACGTCATCTTCGTGTGATTAAAAGAGAGAACGAGAGAAAACAACGATATTGGGTTTGAACGTCCGAGAAGGAAAGTAAGGAACAATCAGCGAACAGAATCCGAGTCTAGCAAGTAGTATAAATAGACGTTTGGTCAGACTACTGATTTTTACGTAGCCAAGTTCCTGCGAGATTCTGAAATAGCACACGGGGCACAATCGCTAGAGTTTATTGACTTGGGTAAAGCTTTGGGAAGGGGTAGGAAACGGTGTTGGTGAAATATTACGATAACCTATCGGATTATCGATTTCTTGGGAATTTGGAGGGTGGAAAATTATACTACTGTTGCTACGTGGTACGTGCAATTTTGCCCGAATATTTTCTTGCTCGCTGCCTGTTTTGTTTCCCGTTTAAATTCACCTCGTTTCTAATTCTTTTCTTTTTCTTCTTTTCTTTTTTTTTTTTTTCCTCGTTTTTACACGAATCTGTAAATTTCGCTCGTTTGTCTTCCGTCGATGTTATTTCTCTCTGCTCGAAGAATTATTTGTTTTACGGCAGGAGCAACACGACGCATCTCGTCAGAAGTTTCCCGCCGGCAGCAAAACTACCATGTGCTCGAACTTCGGCTACCTTCAATATTTATAAGCGTCGGTTTCCGTGACCGCCGTACAAGAAACTACAGGCACACGTTTTAAGAAATACAAACGAAAGAAGCTTTCGGCGTTAACTTGAAAATTAATCGAGGAAACGATTTATTATTCGAATACTTGCAGTCTTCCTTTCCCTCTCTCCCCAAGATGAGAGAACGTCGAAATTAAATACTTTTCTTTTGGCGAAGTTGTATCGATCCCGATCGAGTCGCCGCGTCTTCGAAAACGAAGAGGTCTGCACGACAGGGAAACAAACGTTTCGCTGCTAGGAAACGGTAATGAAATTCGGCGGAGGATTGCGTGCCACTGGCTGCTTTGAGTATCGATGCTGCTATTCGAGCAGTCGGGGAATCGTTGAGCTGGCAAGCTCGATCGGCTGCCGCACGCGAAAATTGCCGACGGTGATTTCATTTTAGAATCGTCGGGTCTTGATTGAACGCGGTTCCGTAGCCACAGCTGATGCCATAGTATCACGTGCTTCGCAGTAACTTTGGCAACATTCCGCCCGTTCTGCGTCGCCTATCAATTAATTCTTAAATTTATCATCTAGCGCCCGGGGATGTTTTCACTTGCAGCTTCGCCGTCGATTCCAACGACGAAGGGAAAGGAAAACTGTTGGACGAAAAATTAACATCTATCGTACTCTCTTCACGTTGAAATTTACATAATAATTCCAGCGGAGAGCCACGGGTTTCTTATGAAAGTGTTCTTCTTCTTACTTATAATTCCTATGATATCACATTCCCTTTATTCAACAGTTGTCCTCGTAACGTTCTACAAGTTCTAGATGAGTTCTTGTTATTTGACGTCTACAATTCGTACTTTCATGGTCTTATGGTTTGACGAATTTTTTGTCTGCTCGTGTGTCAGACATTTAACGAAGATTATGGTGATGCAACGTTGCTAGAATTAGGATGTATGATCTTAGTAATTAAATAATTTATTACGGTATAATAATATCCATGAAATTGACCCTTTGATTTGAGTACTCATTGAAATGACCAAAAGTTAGTATTACGTAACGTTAAATATTTAATCTGTCACTCTCTGAAAAGTAATTTATTCGAAATATCTCAAATTACGTACTACTATGATATTGTCCTGCGTATTCAACGATTTATGAGCACTAATTTCAACAGGCATGGCTCCATTTGGACAGGCTCCGTGCTGCTTGGTATTTTAATTAATGCAGGGAAAGAAATCACCAATTTCATAATAACGCGAAATAATTAATTTGGATGTTGCGACCGTTGCGCGCACCGATATCAAGAATTATAGGCTTTAACGAACCGAAAACCCAGGCAGGATGTGCTTCTCGGACGGCGTGCGCATGGATACAACGATTCTCGGCGACGCGTGTACACATTGGCTATCTAGGCCGGAAGATTTTTTCAATATTTCCCCGCGGCGTTGTTCACTCCATTTGCAAACGCGTATCGTGTAGCTCTCCGAGCTTACGCTTGTTACCAACGCGTTTCACGCTGGGGGTTGAAGGGTGTTGGTGCACGGTACTGCCTACGTACGAGCTTGAAAAAATTGTAGACCAGTCACGGGGACGGAACAGAATTCACGCTACAACGCGACTGCACGCGACATGGTTCGCGCGTTGCTACGAAATTAACCCGCTTTTGTTCGGGACCCGGCCACCACCGTCTCTCTCTTTTTCTTTTTTTTCTTTTTTTTCTTTTTTTTTTCTTTTTTTCTTTTTTTTTTTTTCTTTTTTTTACAGCATGACTCGACCAACGGGAAGGCACTTGGGCAAATTACGTGCCGAGTTGGCCGTCGTATCTAGCACGCAGGGCACACACCACCTTTCGTTATCCACGTTTCTCTGTCTATCCGCGCCCGCTACAAAGACAGATTGTTTTTGTTACTTCTTTTTTTTCTTCCTTTTTTTAAAAGTCGCCTGTTTTTTTTTCCTTTTTTTTTCTTTTCCTTTTTTTTCCGGCTTTCCCCCCCCCCGCGGCTTCCTTTAGATCCTTATTACAAGAACTTTAACTCTTCTTCCCTACTTAACTGCTTAATCCTATGATATGTTCGCATTCGTTATGTAATATATATATATATATAATATATATAAGATTATTACGTTAAATCAACGCAGTCGCTCGGTCGATCACATCCACACTTGCCACATCCATTCGCACATTCTCATGCTTTCTCTCTCTCTCTCTCTCTCTCTCTCTCTCTCTCTCTCTCTCTCTATTGTTATTCGTAGTCTCTCTCTCAGCTCGTTACCATTCGCACAGTTCTCTCTTTTTCTCGACACACCCCGTCTAGGATATTTAGACTCTCCTTAACAAGATACATAATTAAATGCTCGCCATTCTCGCGACGCGCCAATGATAAAACATAAATACACGCTTCTTAGGGCACCTTTGGTATTAAGCTTGATGTACTCGTCTTCGTCTCTTTTGTATCTCTATATTATGCAATTTCGTACCGCGAGCCACCGCGCTTGTCTTCGCTGTATCGTTTCGTTTCGTTTCGTTTCGTTTCGTTTTGTTTCTTTTCTCTCCGCGATGTCTGTTTGTTTCCATGTGAATACATCGAATCACGTCGTTCTGGAATTAATTAACAGACGTGACTCTCGTACGAGACGGAGAGACAACGAACGAGTTGCTGCGAGTCGATCGTATCCAACCAGGACAGGACACCAATCTTTCCCACGATTTTTAACCTGTTAACCGGCAGCTGGCCGGATGGTTACTTTCAAAAATCTTCAAAAAACGGGCAACTAGGAGATAATGTAATTAATTAATTCGGCTCCTTACTTTCACGAACAAGTCGCTTTAATTTTTCACTGAATTTTTCCTTGCATTTGAAAATATGTAAATGGACATGTGTGCGTGTCACGGTTACTTTCTTCATGCTATCCACTCGCTTCATTCTGATTCATATTTATTTATTTATTTATATATATATGTGTGTGTATATCTCAATTTGTAACTTTCCTTCTTCCTCGAATTTTCACGATCCTCGATACTGGATCGAATTGGCTTGCTGTCAGAATGAAGCTTCGTCGCTCCTACAAAACTCGCGTTTGGCTACGGATGGAAAGAAAGCCCACGACTCGAGGAACTGAAACGACACATACCGCTTCATCATCTCGCAGAGAGTTAAAGTTAAAATAGATATCCTATCGACGTTGCTATCGCTCGTGTCGTTCTCCACCGTGGAAACAGTAAAATAGACGTTCACTTTCGAGCGAGAACGATCGAAGGTTCTGCTCCATTGCTCGTCTCGACGTTAACAGGACGTCCGGTTAACAGGTTAAAAAAAAAGGCAAAAGAAAAAACAGACAGCTCGTCGCTCGTTATTCGGAAAGCCTACCTCCGTCTCTTCGGGAGGATGATCGCCCCTAACGACAAATTTCCAATCGGTTTCGATTCTTCTTCTTCCCCATACCATCTCGAGACGACAATTTTTCCGGGGAAAACAGCGCGGGGCTCGACTTTCCTAAAAGAATCTTCCGCGACTGTGGACTCTGTGTGTTCCTCTGTGTGTACGTGTGAACAAGTATTATATTATATGCGTGCGCGTGTGACTTCAACAGTGCCTTTCTTTTATACTCTTACGCTTCTCTTCGCTCCGTCTCTTCACGTGTGTGTACGTGTGTGTATGTGCATATATGTATGCATGTATGTATGCACGCGTTTCGTCTGTATCATCGTGTGAAAATCGTGTCAAGAGCGTCGAAATCCGCCTCTACGTAGAAATTCGCTGGAGCGTCACGACGACGCTTCACGCGAGTTCACGCTGACGTTCTTCTCTCTCTGTCCTTTCGTCCTTTCGGGTGTGTGTGTGTGTGTGTACGTGTACGTGTGTGCGTGTGTGTCTCGCTTCCCTCCTGTCGTTTCTTCACACTCTTCCTTCCTTCCTTCCTTCCTTCCTTCCTTCCTTCCTTCCTTCCTTTTTCCTTCCTTCCTTTCCATTCTTTTCTTTTCTTTTCTTTTCTTTTTTTTTTTTTTTTTTGCTTTTNTTTTTTTTCTTTTTTTTTTTTTTTTTTTTTTTGCTTTTTTTTGTTTCTTTTATTCTCGTGTCTCTCGCTTCGTCGTCGTCGTTGATCGCAATCAAGACTCGGTGGAAAATAAATAGACAAGGTAGTACACGGCTAATCGAAATAGATCGATAAGTTAAGTCGTTAAAAAATATATATACCTAGGAATATCATATATACGCGATTATTTTTTGGGCCCCCCGCGAGTCGCGAATCTAAAACGCCGTTGCTCCGCGCGATTTGTAAGAATTCTTCATCCTCCTCTTCTTCTGTTCTTCTGTTTTTTTCTTTTTTTTCTTTTTTTTCTCTTTGTTTTCTCTTCTTTCCTCCCGAGACAAGGCTGGAACCCACACATACACGCGGACAACGCACCCGCTGCCTTCTTGCCTGTATAATCCTTTTCTTTGATCTTTCCTTCTCTAGCTTTTCTGTTTTCCCTTTTCTTTTTTCATCGCGTGTATACGTCGGACGCCTGTTTTCCCGCTTTTTTCACCGCTTCTCTGTTACTCTCATTTTCCTCGCTCGCTCGTTTATACGTGCTTTTTTCCCCGCTTTCCCTTTCTTCGATTCCCCCTACCCTAAGTGATCATCCGCCCTCCGGTCCCCCCACCCCCCAGTTTTCTTATCTTGACTTTCCCGCGACGATTTCTCGAGCAACCCACGATCGATTTGCTCCGGGAAATCCAAATTGCGTCGAACCGGCGTTCGCCAGCGTGGAGTTTCGTCGATGTTCGCGGCGGGATCCTCTCGGCCTTTTCTCCGATCGTTGCGTTCCACGGGGGTTGCAAGCACGTATACACGCACGGTCTTCTTCCCTCGATTCCCCTTTACATGCCGTTGATGTCGATCTTAAGGTTGCCCGTTTTCTTCTCTCTTTGATCCCTGGAAACATCATCGGATTAGTTAGTATCACGGTCCGCGAAAGAAGAGTCCGAAGAAACGCGCATACATACACACACACACACACATATACACACACACCTATGGCTGATCGATTTTTCTCAAATTTTCTCCCGATACTCTCGGTTTCTCTGACGATTCTTGATCGAAAATAATGACGTTTGTCATATATATAATACGTAACATATATATATATATATATATATATATATATATATATATATATATATATATACAAAATACATAATGTATATATATATATATATGTTTTATTAAAGGACCAAAATAAAATAACCGACGAGCTTCGACAATGTGTCTAACCCATCGAGGACCAACATCACGTAAATTGTTCTTTATAACATCAAAATTCTCGCTTCTGTGATGAATATTTTCAAATCAACTGTCCTTGACGGGCTAAGTGAAATCAAGCGCGAACGGAAAGTACGAAGTTTCCAAGTTCTGCTTGCTCCTGTCGTTATTTTATAGAAAGCAAGAGAGAAAGAGAAAGAGAAAGAGAGAGAGAGGAAGAAGAGAAAGTAATAATAATAATAATAATAATAATAATAATAATAATAATAAAAACAAACGAATAGGACATAGGGATTCGACGTGAAATCGGAACGAATGAACGAAGTATGACATATATATGTGTGTGCCTACATTTTGTCCATTTGGGGGAGATAGACTCTGCGAAGATTTACGCTCGCGAGAAGGTCAGAATCGATCAGAATCGCAACGAAAGTCACAACCGAATCTCTTTGTCCCGCGCGGATCGATTTTTCCCATTATTCTCTCCTTTACTCTATCCGGATAGTGGATAATGCGCCAGGTGCTTTGGACAGGGGTGATTGTAAATCTTCTACGACGTTGCGAGTAATTCAGCTTCGCGTGGAAAAATGAATTTTTCTCATTTTAGTTCAAGTCGAAGAATTTGATGGAATTTTGTTTGTTTCTGTTTGTCGCGTCGCGTTCTACACCGTTCCTTGACAAATGAAGTTCTGAAGTTTATATCTTCTCTAGTTGTTGATTTAGCTTTTCGCTATTTGCAAATGAGAATGATTTTGAAATTTGAGAAAAGGGTATTTGGAATTGATCTAAAGACTGAAATATACGGGTTACGTGAATTACGATGATTTGAAATATTCTGCTTATGAGTATACAGAGGTATTTAAATTGAATATTTGTATTATATTATATACAGATTTTGGAATTTAAAGTTATACATGTGGATTCTATATACACAGAGAGTAGATCAAGTCTACTTTTTTAAGAAATAAACTTACACAAGTCTGTCCTTTTAGAAAATAAATTACATTGTTATAAAATGATTGTTGTGATGTAACATTGTAAAAAAACCATTTTACTACATTATAGTATATTCAAAAGGAACCATAAAATTCATCTTACACTACGATCTTTAACCATCATAAGCCCTGAAATAATATTGTCAAGTTGCAATAATTTACATTAAATTACTGTGAGAACAGAATTTTTATTTTATTTTCCACGACAGAGATTTCAGTATCAAAATTAAATTAAAAAAAAAAAAAGAACTTCAAGTGTTGAAACATCTTATTAATCTTGCTCTACGCCCCCCTTTCTCCAAAGCACCGTGCATAAAAGAGCAAGGTCATCCTCTATTTCTCAATCGAAATATCGGTAAAGACGTTCTCGGTGATTTTGACCGTTTTAGTTTGACCAGGGACTGTTTAAAAAAACCGTGTTGTAGTTAGTGCCACGATGGCGCGATAGTGCTTCCCTAAAAGTGTAATAGATGAAGTAGTTTATGTATAGGTAAAATGGTTTATGTTTAATCGAAAAGAAAATAATTCCTAGGAGAGGAAGCTTCGATACGATTAACGACGATATCGCTATAATCGAAATCGAGCGCATTGTAAATTGCAAATTTGTTGTTAATTATAAAATTGTAAATTTGTAAATTGTTAATTATAAATTTGTAAATTGTAAATTACTGTAATTACAATTTTATTATAATTTACAAAAATAATTGTAAATTTGTAAGTTGTAAATTATAAATTTGTAAATTGTTAATTATAAAATTGTAAATTTGTAAATTTGTAAAATTGTAAATTTATTGTTAATTGTAAAATTGTAAATTTGTAAATTGTAAATTATAAATTTGTAAATTTATAATTTACAATTTTATTATAATTTACAAAAATAATTGTAAATTTGTAAATTGTAAATTATAAATTTCTAAATTGCTAATCATAAAATTGTAAATTTGTAAAATTGTAAATTTATTGTTAGTTGTAAAATTGTAAATTTGAAACACGCCGTTTGACGCCGTTTGATGCGAAATCTGGACAGCGCGATCGCGCCGCGTGGCACTAAAACGTGGCTAATGAACCACGAAGGCGAAACAGAAATAAACGCTCGTTGAACGTTCGGTTTTCGAGCGATTTTCACCGAAATTTGCCACGAAATCGTTGGCCGCCGCGTTTCAGCGTATCCGTCGTTGCACCGCGGAACGAAAGTAACAGACAACCTACATTTCATCCCTTTCTCACGGCCGACGAAGAAGAGACAGAGACGCCTTGCCATTGAGTAATTTACGTACCTCATTAGGCCGTGACTGCGTCCGGACTGAAAAGCTCTCCCTTTTTTCTTCTCTTTGTTTCTCTTTTTCTTTCTTTCTTTTCTTTTCTTTTCTTTCTTTTCTCTTTGTTTTGTTTCGTCAACGGGAGTTTTCGGGGATTTCCTTGGTCATGGACGAAGGATAATACAGGACGCGGTCGGTTTTCACTCGCGTGGAAAGACAGACGTTGCTCAAAAGTTTTACGAATACCTTTTTATCTTCAACCCCTTATTTTCGATTTTCGAAAATATCCCAAGTTCAAACACGTTTGAATATGAAGAGGTTTTTGCTACTATGCACGCTTTAGTATGACCTTTCGTTTAGAGTTTCATCCGCGAATTCGTCCGAGTGAAAAATCGAAATATAAAAATTCGAGATTCGCCGCCGAATCAATATATTTCGTATTTGTCTTTTTCTTGCAACGCAATTGTTAATCCTTAATTGTTTAAACAGAGGTTTGGTCGAGAAGTGCAATTTTTGCTTTTTCTTTTTTCTTTTTTTTGGAAAAATCTTTGAGGCAACCCCTGTCTTTTCTTTAAAACACTTCTGAAACGTTTCGAACACTTTCGGCTCATTCGAATATCAGAAATTTCAATTGTTAGTTGTTTCGTATTTTCAATATTATTCCTCTTTCATTCTCAGTTTCTTTCATTGCACTGTTATCTTCAATATTCTCGAAGATTCTCGAGCAGAATAATAACCATGTGATAACCTAGTGTATTGCCAAATCCAATATATGTCACAAAATTATAATTAATTAACCGTACATGTATGAAATCTGCAATTACACGTTCAGTCTGAGCACGAATAGAGTAAAGTTGATAAACAATTACAGAAAACAGTAATCTTTTTTTTTTTTTCATTTCTGAGAAAGTATTCAGAGAAGCAGAAGAAGTTTGTACAAACATTCTGATCAAACCTCAGTACAAAGTACTGTTCTATTTGTGAAACGAACGTATCAATTTGGTCAAAAGATATATTGCGATCTCTTGCGTGCAGGTGAAAGGCGAATTTTTATCGATATATTCACCTGATTTTGTTCGACAGCCTTATATTATTATTATCATTATTATTACTACATATTCAAATTTACGTTAAGTTTCTAACAATTCTATTACTAGTGCATCGGTCGTGACAAATAACAAATTACACGATTCATTAAAAAACAGAAATTACGTTTATTAATATAAACCTCGTCTGTGGTTTAGGTGTGGGTTTAGGTTTAGGCGGCTTTGGGTAGGTTTGGATTAGATTTAGGCAGACTAGACAGACAACGAGAGACAGGAATTCTAATATATCTCGGCAAAGCCACGTCCGTCTCCGTTCGTCGCGACGCTGTCAAGGCGTCACGTGTCCCCCCTTGTCGATCTCAAGCGAAATGAATTAACGACGATGCGTTGCCGCCCCAGCACTCCCCCGACAGTGGACCCGCTATCGATCCCTCTAATTTCGAGGGGAAGGTCGGCCAGTCTGGCCTGCTTTTTTCAGAGACAACAGACTTCGTCTGCGCTCGATCGAGTCGTATTTTTTTTTTTTTTTCACGGTGGAATGATGACGATACGCGTCGCATCCGCGACCTATATTTCCTGGGAAGGGGGTTGAGGGGGGTTTGGACTCGACGTTCCAGTTCTATAGTTCTCGCGTGTCACGCTGTGTTTAGTTGGATATCTCGTTGGCGATCGCGGAGCAGGGCAACCTATGTTCTTTGTTGCCCGAGACTTGGCAATTTCGTCGAAACACGTGGGAGAACTTTCGGTATTATAGCGTTCAGTTCTTCGCTACAAGTGAAAAGAAAGAAAAAAAAATAATAAATCTTCCGTGTCTTGCTCGACGTTTCGACGTGTATGCTCTATTTTGCAGGAACGAGTTTGACTCTCCTTGTTGCTCGTAGTTTACTAGCGATTTAACTGAAAATTTTTTAGAATATCGAAGAATAAATTTCTTAACTTTGTTTTAATAATTTATATATAATATCATTGTCTTGGCAATGATGCGTATTTTATTGTTATTTGATAATTAATTTGTAGTCGGAAACGAATTTTGTTCTTTTATTCTGTCATACGTTAATATCGTAATTGGGCTGTTAAATGATAGATGCAAAATTGAGTTATCCGTGTATGGATTGTAAAATTATTATTATTATTATTAAAATATTTATTAAATCTTTTTGTTATTAAATGTATCTGTACTATCAGCGCGAATGATTAGTATTTCTATTTCGTGATATAAACGATCTCTTTGTAGTGAAAATTGGGTAAAGAGCAAAGAAAACAGAAAAGAGATCTGAATAATCTGTGATAAATACTATTGAATATGTCTTCCACAATAATACGAGAACTTGTCGTAAAGTAGACCGATAGATTCGTCGTTTCTCGTATTTTAC